GTTGGCGGTCGGCACAGATGTTGATGTCGCAAGTGTCAAAGGTGTCTTGGGGTGTTGTCCACAATCTAACTCAAATGATGTAAAACCTGTTGATGCTTGCTTGGCATTGTTGTACGCAAACTCGGCAGCAGGCAAGTACTCATCCCATTGGTCTTGTTTATAGGTGGCATATATGCGTAGCATCTCTTCCAAGGTTCTGTTGAGACGTTCCGTCTGTCCATCTGTTTGGGGGTGGAATGCTGTTGATATGGCAGTCTTTGTACCCAGTTGTTGAAACAAGGCTTGCCAAAAATGGCTGGTGAATCGAGCATCTCTATCTGACACGATGGCTCTTGGTAATCCATGGTGCTTGAAGATTTCAGAGAAAAAGATCTTGGCGACTTCTGGTGCGGTGGCAGATGTATGCATTGGACAAAAGTGGGCTCTCTTGGATAGTCGGTCAACAAACACAACAATGGCATCATGTCCCTTCTTGGTGAGAGGTAGTTGGACGATGAAATCCATAGTGACTTCTTCCCATTTGTGATTTGGCATTGGTAGGGGCTGTAGTAATCCAGCAGGTTGTTGGTTGCTAGGTTTGTTTCGTTGGCATAGGTCACATGTTAGCACATATTTTCGTATATCCTTACTCATCTTGGGCCAATAATAGCTTCTCATGATGGCATCCAAGGTCTTGTCAATACCCGGGTGTCCGGCGATGTCAATGTCATGGTGTTCCCTCAGGATATGGCTTCTCATCGTCTTGTCCTTAGGGATGGCTAGGCAGTGGTCTTTTTTCAGGTAGATGCGATTGGCATCCAATTCAAAATACTTGGCACGGGCTTTGTCTTTCTCAGTGGCTTGGGTTGGGTCTCTCAGGGTCATCAGAATTTTGGAAAAATATTCGTCACTGGTGTATCCTTCCTCGAAGGCCTCATCATCTGCTAATCTGGTGGCAAGTGTGGAGATAGTGGCAAGGTGTTCTGTCTAGAGAGGGCGTCTGCTACAACGTTGGTCTTTCCTGGTCGGTATACTACTTTGAAATCATTGGCCTGGAGGGTTTCTAACCATCTGGCTTGTCGTCTGGACAAATTTAATTGGGTCTTAATATATTCCAAGGAGGCATGGTCGGTGATGACAGTAAAACGTTGTCCTTCCAAATACATGCGCCAGAGTCTTATAGCATGCACTATAGCTAACAGCTCCTTCTCATGCACAGGGTAGTTTTGTTCTGCTGGGGACAACTTCCTGGAGTCATACGCAACTGGCTGTTCTCCTTTTCCATGATCTTGGGTCAAGACAGCTCCGATGGCAAAGTTAGAAGCATCCGTGGTAATGGTAAAGGGTTTATTTGGATCAGGCAAAAGCAGAACCGGGGCCGTGGTGAGGGCTTCTTTAAGTTTCTCAAATGCTTCTTGTTCAGCAGAGTTCCACACAAATTCTTTATCCTTATGCAGGAGGGCGGTGAGAGGGATGGCGAGAGCAGAAAATCCTTGAACGAACTTCCTATAATAACTTGCTAATCCTAGAAAGGATCTGACTTCCGACACATTGGTAGGTACCGGCCAATTCTGAATGGTGGTAATCTTTCGGGGGTCCACAGTGATTCCTTCGGCAGATATGTAATGCCCAGTGTATTCAACTTTTGAGCGCAGCAATTCACATTTCTTGGCTTTGACATAGAGTTGGTGTTGTCGCAGGATGGTTAAGACAGTCTTCAGGTGTCGCAGGTGGTCTTCTTTGGTTTTGCTATAGATCAGAATATCATCCAAGTACACGATGACGAAATCATCCAGGTACTTTCGGAAAATATCATTCATTAACGTCATAAACGTCGCGGGGGCGTTGGTCAATCCAAAAGGTAGTACAAGAAACTCGTAGTGGCCATATCTGGTTCTGAAAGCGGTTTTTGGTATATCTTCTTCTTTGATGCGAATTTGATGGTATCCGGAATACAGGTCGATTTTACTGAAGTACTTGGCTCCAGCCAACCGATCCATGAGTTCTTCAATTCGAGGTAGTGGGTACCGATTCTTGATGGTGACCTTGTTGAGGGCACGATAGTCGACACACAGTCTTAATGTTCCTTCTTTCTTGTGTACAAAAAGTACTGGGGCGCCAAAGGGAGAAATACTCGGTCTGATGAATCCTTTGTTTGATAGCTCGGCCAACTGTTTCTTGAGTTCGTCCATTTCCACATAAGACAAACGGTAGGTAGGTCTTGATGGTGGTTCAGCTCCTGGCAGCAAATCTATGGCATGGTCAATCTTTCTTTTGGGTGGCAACTTATTGGGCAGCTCTGATGGGAATACGTCAGCAAATTCTTTGATAATTGCAGCTTCTTCTGGTGAGAGTTGGGTTTCTTCAGGGATGCCTTTCTCTTGAGCGGCACATACAGCATACAGTTCTTCTTCAGGGGGTGTCCTGGCAAGTTGGTGTCTAGAAATGAAAATAGAATTACATGTGGGATTCTTGTTAGCTCGGTTGGAACTAGCATTGACGGTGATGTGGCGCGGTCCATTTGGAAAGGATAGCGTATTGGCTCTCCAGTCAATATTGGAGTTGACTTGGAACAACCAAGGCTTTTCTAAAATGGCATCATATCGTTGCAGGTTCAAAACTTGAGTGGAGATCCCAGAGGTGTGGTATTGGTCCAACTCCAACTTTTTGATCTTTACTTCGGTGGAAACTTCTTTCTTTCGGCCATCGGCCAGTTCCACAGTAAAGGATTTGGTTGGTATTTTTGGCAGTCATCTTTGATTAGCAAACTTTTCGTCGATAAAATTCTTGGAGGCCCCACTATTCAGCAGGATCCAGGCAGGGTGTCCGTTAATCTTCCCATTAAAGTGGAGTAGCTGTTCTCGGTTTTCTTCAATGTGGATGAACTCGGCATCCGGAGAAGTGGTTTGTTCTTCTATCACAGTGACTTTGGCTTTGGCTTCAGTTTTCTTTGATCGACAATCTCGGGCGTAGTGGCCCATCTTTCCGCAATTGTAGCATTTCACTTGTTTCTTCTGATGCTGGCTGCTGGTTGGTAGCTTCTTGTACGTCTCAGTACAGTCTAGTTCCATTGGAGTCGGTCGGGATTGTTGGCTTCTTCTTTGGGGTTGGTACCCTCGGCTAGTGAAACTTCCTGTTGATCGTTCCAGACCAAACATGGCAGTGTCATAGCGGCTCGCGGTCTCGATGGCATCATCAAGGGTTTCTGGAGACTTGTAACTC